TTTCATATTCAGAGCACTTGTTTGGTCTTCTTTTTTTTCTTTTCTTTTTTTCATTTATTTTTATTAGTTGGAGGCTAATTATTTTACAATATTGTAGTGGTTTTTGCCATACATTGACATGAATCAGCCATGGATTTACATGTGTTCCCCATCCTGAACCCCCCTTCCACCTCCCTCCCCATCCCATCCCTCTGGGTCATCTCTCTGTGTTTCTAAACTTCTCAATTTCTGTGATTTTACTGTTGAGGATTTATGCCTCCCTGAGCCCAAGAAAGGGAGAATACAGTATTTACCAATGTGACCTCGGGAATTGAAAGGGCCAGGTAAGACATTGAGTAAGCTGCTTACCATCCTCATGGGAAATTTGCATAATAATAGTTTTATATCATAGGTATGATCATTAAATAAAATCTACATGGAGTGTATTCTTTTCCTCTTCTGACACATATTAATTTCCCTACCACCTTCTGTGAAATTAACCTTGTGAGCCACAGTCTGGTCTTCCCTTTCCCTCTGAGGTGTGTGGACAAAAAATGGAATGGAATGGAACCACATAGGGTTGGTACTGTCAGGAAAAGCAGTGGAGACCAAGTTGTCCTTTTTGGATTGCTTTCAGGATCCAGACTCCAGAGTATTAGGGTGTCAGTGGTACCCTTTCATCTTCAAATAAATAGGTGTCTCCCCCCATGGAAGATGGAATGGGCCTTCCATGAAAGGACCTCAGGAAATCTGATTAATCAAGTGAACTTCTCATCCTGAATTTGGACAGATGAGATGGAAGCCTTCAAGGATCACACACAGTCCAAACTAGCCCTCCAGTTGAGAGCAGAGCCCAAGCTAGTGATGGAGAATGAGTTTAGCTTGATGGCCTTGTGTATCCTATGCCTAAGGAATTCTAAGTTCTGAGGCCATGGGAACCAACAATTGGTGAAAAATTAAAAGAACCTCAGCATCCAGGACACTCAAACATCCAAGTCAGTTATTGCACTTTTCCCAGGTTTGTCTCCCAGGTGGAGCCCCTCCCATATCCTAGAAACTCTAGTCTGATCATGGATGAGCCTTATGAGTCATCCTCTTCTTCACATGTGCAACCCAGCCTTCCCAGGAGGGTTTACATCCTGAGCCCTCTGTCTTCGAATGGTGATAATTATACTGAACTGCACTTGACTTCTCCATCTCAGTTAAGGAGGATTGGATTGTTCTTGCCACACTTCTCAAACTTGAAACACTCTCTAGGGTGACTTTCATAATCTTTTGCCACTTATTTGAAAGCAATCATTCCTCATTTTCAAAGGGAAAGAAAGTGTACATTAAAGTTCTGCAAAATAGGCAAAAGTGAAGTCCTGTTATAGCTTAATTGCTGATAAAGTTAATTTGGAAAATGACCAATGGTATTTCCCATGGCTTTCTAAGTGTTTCAACAAAATTGACTTAGGTAGTCATATTCAAGGGCTTCCCAGGTATCTCAGTGGCAAAGAATCCGCCTGCCAATGCCGGAGATGTAGGAGACATGGGTTGGACCGGTGGGTCGGGAAGATCCCCTGGATGAGGAAATGGCAACCCACTCCAGTTTTCTTGCCTGGAAAATCCCAGGGACAAAGGAACCTGGCGGTTACAGTCCATGGGGTCACAAAGAGTCGGACATGACTGAGAGACAAAATAACAACAACAATCACACTCAAGACCACAAAGATAATGACAAGGTGCCGTGGGAACTGATGACATTTTCAAAGTCATCCGTAGAATAATGAGAAAAAGTCTAGGAGCCAATTCCTTGCCACTCTCTAGGACCTAGGTCTCAGTTAGCCCCTCCAGCCGCTTCTTTAAACTTCCTCCCTTTGGATGTCTCCCTGCCTCCCTTCTGTTATTCAAAGAAGCCCAGTCCCTTCCCATTTCAGAAGCTTGTCATGTGCTGTACATCACACGGCTCTATCTGGGGTTCTTTTTTCCAGTCTCTTCACCTCTCTTGTGGTCCTCACCCTTCATCCTGCTTCTGCAGAGGTCTTCCCTGTCGGCTGTATGCATATAGTCCTCAGCACCTCCAATTATTCTCATCTCTTCTTTTGAATTCTCTTCATATCTTTGAAGACCCTTTGAGGACAAAGGGTCAATATGATTTATTTTTATTTTATAACTATGACTGTGTACCACCTTTCTCCTTGTCCTAGAATCAGTTTTATTAGGCTTTCTTTATTCCCCTTTCATGTTTCAGCACCTACCACAGTGCCTGAACCACAGCTAGTACTAACAGATATTTGTGGAATGAAGAAATAAATGAATAAGTCAATGAACTCCACGTTCACAGTTTACATTTACAACCTATAATTTTTTTTTAACTTTTAGTTGGAGGCTACTGTTGCTCAGTGGCTAAGCCATGTCTGACTCTTTGTGACCCCATGAACTGCAGCACGGCAGGCTTCCCCGTTTTGTCGGCTTCTGCCATTCAACAGCATGAATCAGTCACAGGTACACGTATGTCCCTTCCCTCCTAAGCCTCCCTCCTCCCCCGAGCCCCATCCCACCTCTCTAGGTTATCACAGAACACCAGGTTGAGCTCCCTGAGTTGGTGATGGACAGGGAGGCCTGGCATGCTGCGGTCCATGGGGTCACAAAGAGTCGGACACAACTGAGAAACTGAACTGAACAGAACTGAATGTATATGCTGCTGCTGCTAAGTCGCTTCAGTCGTGTCCGACTCTGTGGGACCCCATAGACAGCAGCCCACCAGGCTCCCCCGTCCCTGGGATTCTCCAGGCAAGAACCCTGGAGTGGGTTGCCATTTCCTTCTCCAATGGATAAAAGTGAAAAGTGAAAGTGAAGTCGCTCAGTCGTGTTTGACTCTTCTCAACCTCATGGACTGCAGCCTACCAGGCTCCTCCATCCATGGGATTTTCCAGGCAAGAGTACTGGAGTGGGGTGCCATTGCCTTTTCCGACTGAATGTATATATGTCAATGCTAAAAGAGACAAAGACATAGAGAACAGACTTTGTACACAGTTGGGGGAGGAGAGGCTGGAACCAACTAAGGATATAATATTTTAAACAAAATAATTTAGACTGAACCCATCATTGGATGACTTATTTCTTCATTCACTTCTCGTTTGTTTCCAAATCACTTGTAGTAGCTAGGGAGTTGTTGATTATCTAAGACTCATTTGAGGAGAATAATCTGGTCAGTGTCATGGGGAGATTAAGAGGATTTATAATCTGAAGTCCACCTTCCTGGTCAGAAACCAAGTTGGACTGTTACTGGTTGTCAGCAGCATTTTTTTTTTTTGCTTTATATCTAGGAAAATTGGGGGGCTAGAGTATCTGAGCTTCTCAAGATCTTTGTCCAACAAAAGACAGGATTATAAAGACCACTTTCTGTTGCTGACATATTTTCCAGGCAGATCAGAGTGGAGTGTACTTCATCTCCCATCAAAGGCTATGTGTGACCTCTGGGTCAGCTCCAACAGGTATCTACCCAAGGGTCTTATTATCAGTGCTGACAAGCCTCAGGGGTAACATCCCACTTCCTGTCTTTGCACACAGATGCACACTGCATCTCTTCTTCTCTTCTGTGTGCGTGCCTGGTCACTCAGTCATGCCAAACTCTTGCGACCCCACAAACTGTAGCCCGCCAGGCTCCTCTGTCCATGGGATTCTCCAGGCAAGAATACTGGAGTGGATTGACATTGCCTGATCCATGGGATCTTCCCGACCCAGGAATCAAACCCAGGTCTCTTGCATTGCAGGCAGTCTCTTTACCGATTGAGCTATAAGGGAAAGATTATCTGGTGCACTTCCTGCACTGAGAGCCAACTGCTTGCCCAAAACGTCCTGGTTAGATGTTGTTTATGTTCAAAATTATTGTAACCTATCTGGAGTGAAAATCACACTTACTGATAAAGTCAGCTCATTTAAACCTACAATTTATGTGTGTATACACACATACTGTGTATGTATGCGTGCCTGCTGTCTCCTTAGTTGTGTCCATTCTTTGCGACTCCATGGACTGTAGCCCACCAGGCTCCTCCGTCCATGGGATTCTCCAGGCAAGAGTACTGGAGTGGGTTGCCATGCCGTCTTCCAAACAGTGCCTACCACATAGCTTTTTTCTTTTTTTTAGATTTAAATGGCTAGCATTTGTATAGTTTGTAGCACATAGTCATCTTCACAGATGAATTTGACAAGTAAATAAGACATATTTCTAAACTGGGGACTGTTGCGCATGTGCACGTGCTAATGTGCCCTGGGGTAATTGGCTCCACAGGATGCAACTCCAGAATCTTCCTCATGTATCTATTTCAGTCAACTATAAGCAATAGAAAACAGCTTTTAAATTTTAAAATTAAGACAGATACATTATGAAGCAGACATTTTAAGACAAAACATGAGCTGTCCGGAGGCTTACTTTCTGTAGCTGACTCCTGAAGCTCTAAGCGCAAGGCTCTCCCTCCCCGTCCACTGTCTCTTCCAGGCGTTCTCTGTAGTAATCTGAATTCTCATTCGACTATCATTGTTCTGGCACCATTCCATACTTTTCCCGTGTCTGGGATTTTTGTCCTCTCTGCCCACAACAACTGCCTTCTCCCAATATAGCCACACACAGAAGTCCAGCCTTCACATTTTATTTTCTGTGAAGACTGTCTTGAGTCTACTGCCATAGGTGATCTCCCCCGCCACAAACGGCCAGAACTCTATGTGAGTGAGATCTCATGATGGGTGCCGCATCCTGTATAACAAGTGACATCGGCCTGCACATTGACCTGCCCGATTCTCCGTAAGACTGTGAACAACTCGAGCTTGAATGCTATTCCCGCCCTTTTACACCTTCTCTCTCCCCCACAAACAGCTAGCACAGTGCCTTTCCCTTCACTCAATGCTCGTGGAGGCCTCTCCAGAACATTCCTCCATCCAGCATAGCCTGCCACAGGGCAGTTAGAATGCGTTCATCTACTGCCACTATGACATTCCCAGAATTCCCAGACATTCCCATCGACTACAGTTCCATGAAAGGAACAAGACCAAGTGCTCTCACTCATCACCTGACCACAAACTCTAACTTTCAGGTGAGGCCAATCTGTTTCCCCCCAGGGAGCCTGTTAGCTTTGCTCAGCATCTGCAAAGAGGAGTGATTCAATAAAGTAAGCAACACCTTTAATAAGAAGACTGCTTGCAACAAGCTCTAATCCATATCTCAGCATGAAAAGAAAAACTCAGTTGTCTTTCTGGGATATAAATTGACAGGTAATTTTATATTTAGCTGTGCCCTTGGAGATTCAACCTGCCTTATTTTTGTCTTGCCAACTTTCTTTGGAGATGGCTGCTGTCCGGATTTATAGAAAAGCAACCTAATAGCATTAATTAGTTTTCTTAAAACAATTTCCTGAGTGTACTATATACTGGGCTCTAAGGTAGAATATGAAAACAAAAGTGATCAAGATAGAGCTTATTCAGAGTCAGCAATGACATTCAGACAAATAACAGGAAATTAAATACAAGGTGATGTAGGTTATGATGGTGGAAAATACATTCTGGCAGAAGAATACATAGGAACTAGACCAATAAGATTTGGCTATGGCTTGTAGGGTCTCAGAGAAACCAAGAATGAAGTCAAGGTTTTCGTCCTGATTACTCAGGGGCTAGTAGAAGAAAAGCAGATTCAGTTGAGGAAAAAGATGGTGAAGATGATGTTGGGCAGGTTGAGAAGAAGTCATCAGGACATCTAAGCAGAAATGCACAACAAATGGCTGAATAATAGTTCAGAAATTCAGGACAGAGATGTCAATACAGATAGAGATTTCTTAGACACAAAGCAATTCAAGGTAATTTGAAACAATAGAAATGCTTGAGATTAATAAGAGAAGATGAGCTTTAGAGAAATGAGAGCAAAGGATAAGCCCAAGAGGTGGGATAAAATGCAACAGTGACATCTTGGGTGTTAGGGAGGAGATTCATGGAGAAGGGACAGATAATGCACATCTAACATTAATGAGAGAGCAAAAAAGGTGGGGACGGTAGAGGGGTGTTGTGTGTGTGTGCTCAGTCGTGTCTGACTCCTTGTGACCCCATAGACTGTAGCCCACCAGGCTCCCCTGTCCATGAGATTTTATAGGCCAGAATACTGGAGTGGGTTGCCATTTCCTTCTCCAGGGGATCCTCCCAACCTGGGGATCAAACTCATATCTCTTGTGTCTCCTGCATTGACAGGCAGATTATTTACCACTGAGCCACCTGGTAAGCCCAAAAGCGGTATTGGATTTTGGCAAAAGAAGGCTATGGTGACTCAGAGAAAGTGACGTCAGTGCGGTGGTAGGGATAAAGTCCAGCAAACATTCAATGGGAAGTGCAAAGAACGTGATCAAAACAGAAATGAAAGTGTAGACAGTTCTTCTCTGGAGCTTGACTGCAGAGAAAGAGGCCATGTCACCCCAGAAGAAGACTTTTGAGCAAGGAAGGAATTTAAAATGCTATATGGACCTTAGGTAATCTAATACGTTTAGAAGAAACATCCAGTAGTGAGCAGAGTTTCTCACTCTTCAAAAGTCTGGTCCTCAGCTCAGCAACATCAGCTGAGAGCAGAATCTCAGGTCATCCTGAACCTACTGCATCAGGACCTGCATTTTGACATGACCGTGTCCACAAGGACTAAAGTCCTCAAGGCATCACTGTAACAAAGTTAACTTGTGCACATACTATGGATGTATAAGCTCTTCCAGTTGTGCTGTGCCTACTGGAGAATGACAGTAATTAAGCAGCTCTGACTCAGAGTCTCTGAAGAAGGAATTGAGAAATAAGGAGACGAGATCCCCAAGCACCTGCTAAGAAGCAGTAGAGGTTCAGACTCGATCCGTTCACTCTTTCCCACCTGGTCTCCCCTGCACCCTGTTTCCGGCTTTATGTTACAATATCGCACTGGGCATCCTTGACGAAATATCCCTGATGCTCAAATTAGAGGCACAACATAAAAGTTACCAAAATAGTTCCTTTAACTGTCCCCTGAATTTCAAGCATTAAATCAGATAGAAAAAAAATTACTTTCTCTAAAAACATTTCTGTATGTGCTAACAGTGGGATCCCACACTAACACTTACAAGCTTCACACACGAAATTAAAAGCTGTATTTGACTTATCTTCTGGAGATGAAATGACCCCTAGAGTCTGACCTTGGATGAATGTAGCCCAGCTGACAAATCAGTCTCATTACAGCAAGCGATGAGGGAGACCCTTCTCTGCATCCTGAGCAGCTGAAATATGTATAGCTGTCTCTTGAACATATTTTAATTAAAGATTCTTATTTTTTCTGTGCCCAGAGGCTTTTGGTGACGGTATGTTTCTTAAGTCTCATGATAGAAATGATGCTTTTTCATGGTGCAAATTTATGCAACTGAACACAGGTGTCGAAATTTTCTATGTATCTGTGTCACCAGTGAAGGATGACTGGTTGTCAAGCCTGAAAGTTAGGGAGGAAAGTGGACCAAAGGAAGTGAAAAGGAAGCAGCAGGCCTTTGGAATTTCAGAAATGCTATCACAACCTCTAATACCTAAACATTTCTTTTCTTTTTCTACTCAGAGTCGTGAGAAGACAGCATGGAAGAGGAGACTCTCGTCCATTTAGAGTTGGCCACCAGCTCTCTGTTGCACAGATTTATGTAGGCAAATTCCAAGATTTTACGATGTGAATTCCCCTGGGCAGGAGGTTAGTGCATGTGAATTCATCTTGTTTCCCTCTGTCACCCCGTGCCATCTTCCCTTTTGTGAAAGGACATTCAGTAAATGTTCTCTTCCCAGAACACTGCCATCCATCCGTGTACAAAAGCCTCACTCCCTTTCCTATCACTGAAATGCTTCTTTGGAGCACAGTCCTCCCCAGCACCACCTCCTCATCCCTCACACACACACACACACACACACACACACACACACACACACACACACATTCAAACACTCAAAAACATAGTCAAATGCTGGGCGGATATGCTTACTGTTTGTATTAACCTTCAGAACTGAATTGAAAGGACAGTCATAGCTGAATCTTTTTTTTCCCATTCATTAGCCTCGGAGGTCAGGAGGAAAAAGACAGAAGAGTCAGAATGGGTCTTGATCTGAAATAACATTTGTAACCAAATCCTGAGTCACTCTATGCCTTTGATCCCAAATTCTCTTGTCCCACTCCTATTCTTTATTATACACAAAAATCTACCCAGTTCACAGATTCTTTCATTGAAGATTGTGAACACTCAGACATTAATGTTTTTTATCTCTTTTACTCCATGTGGCTCCTAAGACAAGAACTGAAAAGCTAGAAGGAAGGAATAAGTTGGTCGTTGTATTTCTCTGAGATCAACTGAAGCACTGCAGCATCTTTAAGAGCATTCAGAGACCCAGGCAACGATCCTTCAAGAGACTGAGTTTGAGTTGGGAAGGGTCGCTCTGTACTAATACCTGATTTGTGATCAGAAGAAGGGTTTCATTCCCTGTTGACAGTGCATGGGCCCTGCCTGAATCATGGATTTCACACCCCTATCCCCAAAACTGTTGACTCTGGGCAACTTTTTAGCATTCAACTATTACATCTTTTGTATGAAATTTGAAGATATAACCCTGCCCTGAAATATCTATTTTAAAAGCGTCACTTTTTCAAAGGTACGTTTGGCTTGTATTAGGGTGATTGGTGCTAAATGCTTAAACATATGCCCTCCAGAACATGGGAGATGAACACAACACATGTTCATTTCTCTTACAGGTAAAGCTAAAGACTGGGAGGGTTTCTCTCACGATTACAATCACCAGCCCAGGCTGCTCGTTCTTGCGACACCCACATCTTCAACATACGCCCGCCATGTTCAGCATCTGAGGAGAGTAAACCATGGAGAGCCCTGTGGGTGACCATGGGGCCAGGCCAGCCATGGTCTGCATCACTGCCCTCCTCAAGCCCTGGGTGGGACTCAGGACTGGGCTCCAACCACCGGAAGGGAAACAGAAACCATCTCCTGCATGGTTTCTGTTAGGAAGGAAAGGAGGAAGGAAAGAAGGAAGGAAACAGGTTTTCCCTTTCAGCACGCATGCTCTCTGTTAGGGGTCTCAACTTCTTCTGTGTCTGTGCACCACAGTTTTTTATCAAGTGGTAAATATTGTTGTTCAGTCGCTAAGTGCTGTTTCACTTTGTGACCTCATGGACTGCAGCACGCCAGGCTCCTCTGTCCTTCACCATCTCCCAGAGTTTGCTCCAACTTAGTACTGACAAACCTAGACAGCATATTAAAAAGCAGAGACATTGCCGACAAAAGTCTGTATAGTCAAGGCTATGGTTTTTCCAGTAGTCATGTATGGGTGTGAGAGTTGGACTATAAAGAAAGCTGAGTGCTGAAAAATTGATGCTTTTGAACTGTGGTGTTGGAGAAGACTCTTGAGAGTCCCTTGGATTGCAGGGAGATCCAAGCAGTCCATCCTAAAAGAAATCAGTCCTGAATATACTTTGCAAGGACTGATGCTGAAGCTGAAACCCCAATCCTTTGGCCACCTGATGAGAAGAACTGACTCATCTGAAAAGACCCCGATGCTGGGAAAGATTGAAGTCTGGAGTAGAAGGGGACGACAGAGGATGAGATGGTTGGATGGCATCACCGACTCAATGGATTTGAGTTTGAGCAAGAGTCGGACATGACCGAGTAACTGAACTGAACTGATGTCCTTTGAGTTTGACGCCCCTTAACTGGACCTTACTCCCCAACCTGTCTTTACAGAAAATTGTCTGTATATCTCATAAAAAGCAAACACTTGAGTAAATCCCAACCCAAGGCATGGTAATAAATTTGACATCCTAAAAATTTTAAACTTGAACATTAGAAATATAGAGAAAATCATCTGCTGATTATTTACCATTTTTTCCATGATTAAATACTTTACAATGCAGGAAAGCTACATGCTATAAATAACACAAAAGATAAACTGTGAATTTTTAAAAACAGTTTTTTAATATTTTGTTCATTATTTTTGGCTGCACTGGGTCTTTGTTGCTGCACGTGGGCTTTCTTCAGTTGCAGCATGTGAGGGCTCCTCTCTAATTGTGGGCTCGAGCTTCTCATTGCGCTGGCTTCTCTTGCAGAGCGCAGGCTCTAGGGCCCGCAGGCTTCAGGAACCGAAGCACACGGGCTCAATAGTTGCAGCCCCTGGGCTCTAGGCTGTGGGCTCAGTAGTTGTGGCACTCAGGCTTAGCTGCCCCAAGGGATGTGGGGTCTTCCCCGACCGGGAATGGCACCCGTGTCCTCTGCACTGGCAGATGGATTCTTGACCACTGGACCACCGGGGAAGTCCTGTGAATGTTTTTGAACAAGCACTGAAGAAAGAGGAGTCTGAAGGAACCACCTCGCCAGCACCTTCGTCTCGGACTTCCGGCCTCTGGGATTGTGTGAAAATAAATTTCTGATGTTAAGCCATCTGGTGGGTGCCCAGTGATGACTGATGACGGACTAACTAGAGAACAGGAGTCTGAGAAGCATCTGGGGAACAATTTCCAAAGCAAACGGTGACCGAACAGGGTTCACTCTTTCCTTCATATCCAGGCTAAGAAATGACTTTTGTACATCATCAATTCTGTTTCGATAACTGGGGAATCACACAGAGGTAGGAAGCACCTCCTCTGGACAGAACAAGCTGGAATAGTTTCAATGATGCAGCAGACACTGACCATCAGGGTGAAACCGCGTAAGCCCTGGAGCCACCCCTGCCTCCCAGCATTGACCCCGCCCATCGTGGTCCATGCCCGGCTGCTGCTCAGGCACAGAAGGGACCATGATGGCGTTCATGCCCACCTGTCAGAGGGATGACCTTCTGTTTGGAAGCAAGAGGAGGACAGGAACCCCAAGTGACTGGATGAGACGGAAAGAATGGTTTCTACCCTTTTGGCTCATGAATATGTTATGGAAAAGGCAAAATTACACAAACTGAAAGCAAGAAGTCGCAAGTCACACATGGTCAGTTGTGTCCAAATCTTTGCAACCTCATGGACTGTAGCCCACCAGGCTCCGCTGTTTGTGGGATTCTCCAGGCAAGAATACCGCTGGAGTAAGTAGCCATTCCCTTCTCCAGGGGATCTTCTTTTCCTGACCCAGGAATCAAATCCATGTATCCTTCACTGCAGGCAGATTCTTTACCATTTGAGCCGCCAGGGAAGCCCTCTATACGCATGTACATGCTTTTTCATTAATGCAGAAAAACACTAACATAATGAAGAGCAGCCTTTGTTTTACACATACATGGGAATTAAAATATAAAGACAAACATATTTCTCTTTAAACATTAATATTTTTATAGATTCAGTTGATTCATAGAGATCTAGTTTATGAATCCAATTTCTTGCATGTTTCACTATGTGTCATAGCTAATTGACAGTTAAAGTTATTTCTAAATATTTCAATACCATAATCAACAAACCAGTTAATGGCTTTTAGGTGTATCAATTATTTCATAATTTCTTTAAATGGAATGCATTACCAAAGTGAATTCACTTATATGGACTTCCCTGGTGATCCAGTGTTTAGGACTTCACCTTCCCTGGTTGGGGAACTAAGATCCTACATGCCTCACTGCCAAAAAAAAAAAAACAAAAAAAAATCAAAAACATAAAATGGAAGCACTATTGTAACAAATTCAGTAAAGACTTTTAAAAGGAAAATGGAGATCTCTAATGAAGCTGCTGTGTACTTATGAATATTGACATATAAAAACTGCTTGGAAGGTTAAAAAAAATCTTTTAAAAAGTGAACAGACTTGCAGAATCTTGATATATACAACCAACCAAGGGGACCTTTCAAAACACAATTTTACTTTCTGTCTCAAGTCATATTTTTTTCCTCTCACAGATACACACAACAACTCACTTTCCCAACTATACTCAGAGTACCACTCAAGACACTTTCCTATGGAAATATTCTCTGTTTCCAAAATGAGACCCCCAAGACACTCTAAGTCCCCACCTTTCTTTATTCTTCATTCTACAACTAGGGAAGAGAGATTTACTTGGAAATTGTTTGTTAGCTTGTATATATGTTTCCTTTAGTGGGTGATGCACTGAGTCTGTTTGGTTACTGCTAGGCATTGACACTTGGACTTTCATTGGAATTAAATCCGTATTTACTGAATTAAGGTTAAAGTGTCCATGGGAGCAATCTTACAGACACACGTTCTTTGTGAAGCACATGTAAGTAAAAGTCTACAGCACGTGGTACTGAAATTACTTTCTAGTCTGTTACTGTCAGATAAAGGAGAAATCAAGACATTCTGCAGAGAACGAACGTTTTCCCTCACTCTCTGCACACACCTCCAGAAGGGCGGCTCTGGGGTTTTCCGTTGTTGATGTTGGCTTTTGTTTCCAACTTGGCGGTAGCTAACAGTCACCAATTACTGGGGTAGAGCGGAGGGGTCGAAAAATCCAATTCCTACTTAATTGATAATAAAACACTTTGAAAAAGGACTACATCCAGAAGCAGACTGACTGAAATATCCACAAAGGAATTAAGTGTCCATAGTTTAAAAATAAACACCCATGATGAAAAGAAAACAGACACTGACAGACAAATACCAATACCAGAACATAACAACAAAGGTGCCCAGTGCTGAGACACAACGGGACCTTTCTCTATGGGACCATCCTCAATTTGTAGGAAATTTCCTACTGTCCACGTCAACAGTTCAGTTCAGTTGCTCAGTCATGTCCAACTCTTTGCCACCCCATGGACTGCAGCACACCAGGCTTCCCAGTCCATCACCAACTCCCAGAACTTGCTCAAACTCATGTCCATTGTGTTGGTGATGCCATCCAACCATCTCATCCTCTCATCCCCTTCTCGTCTCACCTTCAATCTTTCCCAGCATCAGGGTCTTTTCAAATGAGTCAGCTGTTCACATCAGGTGGCCAAAGTATTGGAGTTTCAGCTTCAACATCAGTCCTTCCAATGAACATTCAATCCAATGAACTCTCAAGAGTCTTCTCCAACACCACAGTTCAAAAACAGCAATTCTTTGGCGCTCAGCTTTCTTCACAGTCCAACTCTCACATCCATACATAACTACTGGAAAAACCATAGCTTTGACTCGGCGGATCTTTGTTGGCAAAGTAAATGTCTCTGCTTTTTAAT